GGTACACTTTTAGTCGAATGCAGTAAGACACAACAGGCGACTAACTTAATGTCATGTGAATCATTTGTCGGCATTCCCGTTTCGGTCTCTGCACACCGAACACTTAACACCAGCTAAGGTATCTTGAGAGACCGGTATCTTTTCCTGATATGACTGAAAACAATTTTGTCTCGGAGATGAAAGACCAAGGTATAATATACGTAAAACGTTTAACAACCCGCAAAAACAACGAAACCGTACAAACCAACACCTATCTGTTTTGTTTTTAACTCCAAATGTTTCAAAATCAATAAAGGCTGCTGATACCTATATTTCAAATCTTCTGAGATGCTCCAAATGCCACAAGTATGGCCAAGGTGTAAATATTTGCACATTGTCTGTGGTGAGAAAACACATACAACAGGAGATTGTGACTGTACTTTTAAAATATGCACAAATTGCGCAAGAGATCAATTATCTTTCTTATCTTCTAAAGAATGTCCGATTTGGAAACAATAACTGAATATCAACAAACAGAAAGTCATCCAAAACATTAGTTTTGCTGGTGCGTGAAAAACTTGTCCAAAGCTCAGAACTTAAATAAAACTGTGCTTCAGTTAACAGAACACCGTCTGAGAAAACCACAAAAGTAACCAAATCGTCTGCAAAGTGTCAAATAAACTTGATTGGGCTCAAAACCAATTCTTCTTAGATTTTCTTACCCGTCAACCCAAACTGCAGAATCACTTACTAGCACTTCCCAAATCCGATCAGTGTCATGTTGTGACCAATACTCCTATTCTCAGTCCACCACGTACTTTCAATCTCCAAAATGTCCAACAAATCGTTAAAAGAAAAAACAACTAAGAATGGTTCTTTTAAACAGTAAAGTGGCAGAACCTCCAAAGGGTCAGAATGAAACTGTTTTACAAATGCGGATCCCCTGAGGTTATCGCCCACCACACAGATGCTGGGCAGGTCCCCCATTAATGCCACAAAAGGATAAATTGTTCCAATAATATTGCACAGTGGAGCTGTAAAGGACTAAGGACTAATTCCAATGACTTACAATTTGCCTGGGAAGTTAAACCATTAGCATTCTGTCTGCATGAAACATGTTTTGAACTGACAGATACTTTCGACACACGCCATGCCGGTTGATAGGGCCACTGGAGGATCTGCAGTCCCTGTTAAACAGGACGTTATCCATAGCCCGGCCACACAACTAATCTCCAAGCCGTTACAGTGCGACTTGCATTCATTTTACATTATGCTGTCTATATTCTTCAAACTTAAACAGACTGGTGGCCACAACTCACTTTGTAGTGGTACAGCCACCAACACTAACGGTAAAATACTGGAGGATTTCATTTCAAATAATGATTCATGCATTTATATTAAAGATTCAAACACATATTTTCATTCTGGCACAGGAAAATATTCACCTTTTGATTTGTCTATTGCAGTCTCATACCAACCGAATGAATTTGAATGATCAGTCCACGACGACCTCAGTGTTAGTGACCGTTGCCCAACAATGTAACCACATCTGAAGTCCCTTCATAATCAAGATGGACTTTTAAAAGGGCTAACTGGCCTTTATATGGATTTCCTTGCGTTGAGAAACTTAAACCTAAACGTCTTTCTGATGTACTAAATAACATAGCGATGAATGTATACCCAAATCCTCTACCACTCCTCATATTCGAATACCATGGTTCAATGGCGACAGCAAACTAGCAATGAAGGCGAGGTGAAATTGGGTTTAACGTCATACTTAAGATTATTTTGCTCATATGACGACGTGCATGCGTGTGTATGTTTGGCTGCTTGTACTAGCCCAGACTTCAGCTGGTTTTATAGTGCCACTTTACTGAGATACCATGCTGCAGTGAAGCATGAACACCCCACTCAGACACATTATACTGACTCCGAGCCGACCAGTCCTTGTTGTACCCATAATGCCGAGCGCCAGGCAGGGACCAACAAGTACCATATTTTAACTTCTAATGGTATTAGGCGGCCGGGGATCGAACCCGCGATCTTCCGCTCTCCGGATGGACGCTCTAACCACTACACCACGGAGGCGGTCGACCGAGAGCAATGATTCGTTCTAAACTTCACTACAGCTTCATCGTCAGTGGTGGAGCCTGTAGAGCAGCCTTTCACTGCTTGATTCAATCTATGAAAGAGGTCTAAGACCTTGCTCCTGTCGATAGTCATGACCACAAGGCCGATGAGCCTTCTTTTAAACATTGATGTATCAATTATCTTTGCAATATATCACAAAATTATATTCTTATTAGTAAAACCCTGCATACAACTGTGTTTTTAATATTTTTTATGAGGACCTGTTACAATAAGAAATATTTGCTTAATTCGTCTCTAGGAATATTATAAAAAATGAACCTAATATTGAGCAAGAAAGTATATCTTCTTTCCGCTTGCTTTCGTCTCCTTGTCAATTTGTAAAGACACAGGTAGACCTAACACTGGTTTAGTTGGCTGACTTTGTGTGCTGGTGATTAGATGCCTGACTCTGATAGTGTGGGTTCGAATCCCCGATGGGATTCAATATAACAAAAGTAGAAAAATCTCCACTCTACTGAGAAAGTGTAATCCCAAATAAACATGAATGAATGAATGAATGAATGAATGTACGCGGCAACTTTTCGCTGCGTGTGGTGATGAAAGGGAGGCAATCCGCACTGCCATGTTTTGGTAAAGACCATAGAGTTACCTCCCGTTCAAGTCAAACTTCATGATGGGAATGCGTGTCTCCCTGTTAAGTTCACATGTTCTATTGCCAATGAAAATGTCACATCACGAACACACACTAGTGACGTATTTGTTTCTTCTAATTGTCCATTTCTCATTTATGTAGATTAACCAGGTCAAAAATATTTGAGATTGTTAGATAACAAAGGTAAAGTGGAATTTTTAAAAAACGTTTAATTACATGTGAATCTCGACATTGCCTTGAAGCATTACAGTTTTACACAGAGATTACTTCAAGAAATATGACTTTCATATAACATTGATGCATGGAATTCTTCAATACTTTGAACTAACACCTTTTAACCCAAAATACTCACCATTGCCTCAGTTGACATATAATGAAATCACAATCGCAAGATTTTCATAGTTTTCTTTATTCATCTCCAATGAAACAAACGTGCACATGACATGGTTGGTTGCGCTTTAAGTGATTTAACATTAAACCACTGACAAGTCTCAGCCCGGCGTGAACTAACAAGGTACACAACATTTTGTTGAAATGGTTTAAAAAACACACCTGTTAACATATAATGTCTGCCTTTTGGGTACACTGTTATAACCCATGAAGCTAAGGTAGGATTGTGTCCGAAAGTGATATTTTTATCAACACCCCATCATCCCTTAAGCCACCCCCCAGGGAGAAACCAGATGGCGGAACACGTACAATACAGACTCATCTTCTAATTCCAGGGATATTTTTTTGTTTCCCAATCGCCCGGGGCTTTAAACTCGTTGGCATTGCTTGGACGTTGTGCATGCCTTCAGGCTAAGATACCTAACATATCATGTACATTGCAACGCAAAGCGTGGACATACAGTACGTATATGTATATATTTGTATATACCATTTTCTGTTCAGACCAAGAGTCCTTGACCCTGTAATGCTCGCCCCTTGAAAGGCGACTACAATTAACGAAGTTAGCTGAGTGAGCTGGGGGTAGATATACAGTAAAAACAATTCCCCTGGGGGCAAGGAATAAGAAATGACAAAACTTGAAAAGTGGGTTTTTCAAGAAATATTTATTTCCTTATAAACAACGTGGTCAGCTTTGATTATCTGATAACAATCCAGGAAAAAGTCAGTCAAGTGAATGCGAGCGACTATATTTAGCGTACGTACATATGACCGCTTCCTTCGACGTTTACCAATATAAAAATACCGTTGGAAGTCATATGTAAGATTGCATTGAACATGTTATAAAAGGCTTCTAAAATAATCATTAACAGATACCCTGTAAAATTATGATGTTTCTGACAAGTATACGTTGGACAAAATCTTCCAGTCTTGTCAAAAGTAAATAGATATTTGTTGCATACGACTTTAAATAATTATATTCTTTGATAATTAATTATTTGATACCAGTATCAAAACAACATTTTGATTCTTGAGTTTGAGGTGTTTTCATCCCAGTTCCGTGATAACATTTGTACTTGTTGCATCGAATCCAATTTTCAACTGTATGTCTTCCTTTGCCTGTGCATTTACATGCAAAATGGCGGCGGTGGGGTAGCCTAGTGGTTAAAGCGTTTGCTCGTCACGCTGAACCCGGGTTCGTTTTCCCACATGGGTATATTGTGTGAAGCCCATTTCTCATGTCACCCGCCGTGATGTTGCTTGAATATTGCTAAAAGCGGCGTAAAACTAAATTCACTCATTCACATGCAAAATGTGTAGTTAATATTATCATACTAACAATTGTTTAGCGCCACTATCCAGCCCAGCAGCTCAAAGGCGCTGTGATTTTCCCTCGATCATTTGATGTCAAACTCAAATGGCACATCGTATTATCAATCTCAACTCCCTGGGGATCATACACCTCTTGCAGACACAAGGCTCAGAAATACATAATACGCCTGCAATACAGCCAGATGAATGCACGCGGCTATATTTACTCTAAGTACACTGCCAACACGAAATAAAAGAAAACAACAATCTTAAAATCCCGTACACGTGTAGTATTTAAATCACCAGGGACCAAGCCCCAAAATTCATAAATTAAAATATTTCGTGAGTGTGTTTCAAATAGGGAGGATTATAGACAATTTTAAGTTTGTTGTTCAACGCTTTTAACGTTATATGGAAGCGGCCTATAAATAATGGAGTCTGGAACAGACAAAATAATGGTTGATATTGTGAGCACACTACGCCAATGGGGTACGATCACCACGCGATGCAATAATTGCGTCGAAACACAATGTCGCATGTTACTGAAAAGCAATACAGTAAGCAACTTGTTCGAAATATGAGCTCCCTGCGAAAGGAGGCAACATTCATCAACTGCAGTCATGTCAGTGCATGCCGTCGTACATCATTACATGACAGGTTTATGTCCCCACATACACTGTTCGGATCATTGTACCGGTAGGGTGGTGTGCCATATTTCTGCAGCCATTGAGTGTAAAGAAATAAAATTCCGTTTCAAGATACGAAATAGAAAATGGCTAAATTCGGTTCTTCTCTCTACCCTTGATGATGAACATTAACACATTCAGGATATTGTGTCACAAGAAATTGCCTGGTTGGTTAACATTAAGAATTCTATATATTTTACAACATCAAAAGTATACATTCTTAAGATTTTATCTTTCGTTTTTTTTATATCCTACATAGCCCATACCTAAATATGAGCATTACATATAATTACTGTATATATTTACTAATAGTAATTGTTACTCTTTAAACTGGAGAAAGGTCCGGAGTGGTGAGGACGCCCGATTAGGTAGCTGGAAATATGCCTGAGACGTGCTAAACCATTCTGTAAATACACAAATCTCTTGTCTTCATCGTAATTCAGCTACCATATTTCCTTTTCCTAAACTCATTTTGAAATCACAATTTAATAGAAGAATTGCTTGTATGTATATTTACAACCTACAAACATACCGATTAAATCTGAAATGATATTTTTACCAGAACAATAGACAGCACGTATATTGACGATCTACAAACTTACCAATAGGAACATATGCACACTAAAGCTATATCATTTTTATGCTTACTTCCTGTGGGTCATCAAATCTAATCTATCAACATTCTTCAGAAAAAAAAGTTTTCTGCATCGTAAAGAACTGTACACATCACCTTATTTAGAGTGGCATTTCTGATTTCTGGTTATCCGTTCGTATACCTGTAACAAACAACCTTTAACACCAAAAACTGTTTCGTCACATAATCGAGACTAGTTATTTTCTTGCGCTGATTTTTCATATATACACATTTAACTTAAGGGCTGGCTGCAACACAAATCTGACAATTTCCACGCTGAGAACGTCATACACTCTCGTTTGATCTGTATTGTCCTCTTATATCCAGGGTATGTGTTTTATGTATTTTACAGCCAATCCGAGACGTACCCGGGGTGGGGAATGTTGTAAGACCCCACGGTCATAGATGGTCAGCTGGCCCGTATCTGTGGAGGTATTAGATCACGCAGTATCACATAATTGCCAGCAAGAATGTCCGGGTGGAGATTTCGAGATAACGCGATACTGACCACAAGCCAGAGAGCACCTGTATCACATTCACTCTCTCCACCCGTCAGGAGCGGGACTGCTCATCTTCATCATGGTCGCTGGAGAAGCATGCAACCTTCATCTTTGTGGAACATAATTTATTGTGTGTGGCAACAGGTAGGTTAAATTGTGTTTTTATTTAATCAAGTGAAAAATTAATTTAAAGGTTATTCATAAAATCCCCTTTCGCGGCATTCGTCCTTTCATTTGGAAGAGAATTCATGTATGTATGTTGAGTTGTTGAGTTGGGTTTTGCGTCACATCGGCATTATTCCAGCCATATAGTGACGAGAACAAGTTTGCATTAATAAACATTGTATGTATGTATGTATGTATGTATGTATGTATGTATGTATGTATGTATGTATGTATGTATGTATGTATGTATGTATGTATGTATGTATGTATGTATGTATGTATGTATGTATGTACATGTATGTATGTATGTATGTATGTATGTATGTATGTATGTATGTGTATATGTGTGTGTATGTGTGTATGTATGTATGTATGTATGTATGTATGTAATGTATGTGTGTGTATGTATGTATGTGTATGCGTGCGTGCGTGTGTGTGTTTGTATGTATCAATGGATATGTATTTACTTATGTGAGTGGATTCGTATAGGCGTGCGTATGTGAATGTGAATGCGTGTGTGCGTGTGCGTGTGCGTCTGCGTATGTGTTCGTGCGTTTGTGGGTATGTTAAACGAATACAATGTGCTGAACATTTCAACAAATGACAACCACACCTTTTATGAATCTCCATGACAAATTAGTTATTTTCATACTTTCCAGGACATCAGCAAACTATGGAGGCACAATACTCAGTGCCAAACAAAAGGTACAGCCCACAGAAAACAAGAGAAAACTTCCAACAGAACCTATCCACAGATGGGTATGATCCTAGTTTCACACGATCACGGAGTCCTCACGCAAGGGGAGGTCACTCCATTCCCAAGTCAGACGTCACTGACGACAGACAACGGGTCATGCCTTATCCCCGGGAAACGCTGACCGAGCTGAAACAGAGAGTGACGTCATCACCTAACCCCAGTGATCGCCCAGGACAAAATTCACACCAGAAGGTCCAACACTGGATCGAAAACAGCGAACCGACGGTACCGGTTGTCGTGGTTGACGCAGCGTCATCTGACGGCAACGACGTCAGCAACGACATGCGATCCCACTTCACGTCATCGGATGGACTACACTCAACTAATGCGGTAAGTATTTTGAACTATACTTTTCTTCATTATTGGTAGTGTAGCGCCTGCCACCATGTGGTCCAAACACGTTCCTTCCCGTTCCTGCGTTGGGCTTTTTGCTGAAACACTTTCTGAAAAAACAACCTTTTTTGCTTCAACAGGACCATGAAAGGCAATCAGAATGTGGCACTATTAAAGACAGCACATTTTCAGATGGAGAATCAAATCCACCAGGAGCTATGGACCAGTAAGTACAATACCAACCCAGCCCTCTTCAAGTACAATACAGTAAAAGATTTTACATTTGCAATGTTAAAATTCTGATGATATGTACGAATTTACTGAGAAACGCAACCGTCCGGATTAACGAGGCTTCACTGTATTCCCATGATTAACTATGGAAGTGTGAAAACATAGGGTGTTCTCTATCTCGTATCTATCGATACGATTCTGTACCATTAGCATCCTTAGCCTCCGTGCTATACAATCATGAACGCTGTGTTTGTCAAATGTACGGTAGTATATAATACTGTTAGATATGAGAGTGGGGCGGTGGGGTGGCCCTTTGGTTAAAGCGTTCGCTCGTCATGCCGAAGGCCCGGGTTCGATTCCTCACATGGGTACAATGTGTGAAGCCCATTTCTGGTGTCACCCGCCGTGATGTTGCTTGAATATTGTTAAAAGCGGCGTAAAACTATATTCACTCAATCACTTACATATGACAGTTGGAACACCGACTATGCCCTATATCATCTCAACTAAGTGTATTTCAATTTCAGGCTGTTATGGGACCAGTTCCAGATGATACCGAGGGACAACGTGAGCACTGACTCATCGTTCTGGTCACTCTTACAAGGGATCAAAGTCATAGCCTATGGTCTACTCTTCTGCATGGTGCTGGGCTGCGCTGTCGTCAACAAACTGTCTTTGCTGACCATGACGTCAGGGATAGTGAAGGTCAATAAACGCTAGTTTTTATTCTACATGTATTGTGTATTCATAACTTTAGCAATGGGAGCGGTACAGTTGTCAGAGGGGTATACAAAGTATGTGATTTGGACTACCAGTTAATGTTTGTGGAAGCCATGGTGGCTGAGTGGGTTAGATCGCTGACTTTGTGTGCTGACGATTAGGTGCCTTACTCTGAGAGTCTGGGTTCGAATCCCCAATGGGAATAAACCCCATTCCCCCAACCCCTAAAAGTGCTAGAATCTCCACTGAGAACATTTAATTCTAAATATACATATGTTGCATTTGACCACTTTCTAAAGGCATCGTGAATTCATTTTCCTTTTTTTTAATGAACAAAAAACAGGCGTACTCTGTTTTCCATTGTTCTGCTGTGGTTAAGCTTTTAACTTGTCAAAACAAGACATGTTTACAAGCAGAAAACTGGGGATGCAATTTTGCCAGTTTCAAAAATGAACCTCCGCTGAAGCTGGGGCTATTCGATACTGGGTAGTGTTTTGGGATAGACTGTCCTGTCAAACACAATATGTTTTAGACTATGACATCACTTTACATAAATATACGGTGCAATAATTCCTTGTTGACAAATGTTACCATTTCCCATTTATATAGCTATATTTGTTTATCGTCCAGAGCCTGAAGCACGGAGGACCCACCCCCACCAACACCATGCTACTGATCGGTCTGTGCTTCCCGTATGTGAGCTGGCTATTTGCTTACTCAGCACGGTCAGTGTTTGGAAACGTCGGCTGGCCAACCTTCAAAATGACAATCTCGGTAAGATTTATGTTTATGTGAAAAAATAGACAATGCAGCACACTAGGGGTCTAATGCATTTGAATGCTAAATCTGACCAACATTACTAGGAATTAGATGCTTGATTGGCATTTTAGAAGATGATATTTGATGAACATAGAGATTTTTTTCTGGGTTACATCTTCTTTTTATTCTTGAGTACAACGTTTCAGGGCTTGTTCTGACCCCATCATCAGGTAAAACTGAACAGTAACTGTTAACTCTGGCCGTGAAGTTATAAGCATTGTGACGTCACGGCCAGAGTTAACAGTTACTGTTCAGTTTTACCTGATGATGGGGCCAGAACAAGCCCTGAAACGTTGTACTCAAGAATAAAAAGATGTAACCCAGAAAAAATCTCTATGTTCATTACTAGGAATTGTGAGGCCGCATCCGTTGTGGAGTGAGTAGAGCGTCTGTCTCGAGAGCGGAAGGTCGGTTCGATTCACAGGTGGCACCACACAGAAAGACGTAAACAGGATGGTGCTGATCTAACCGTACCTGGCGCTTAGCGTTAAGGATAAATCAGCTACACCCACATGTGCACGCCGTATCTAAAGTGAATAATATTGATCAATATGTTCCCTCCAAAGCTTTCATACACGGCTATTGTTCAGTGCTCAACAATTGATAATGCAAATATATGTAAATGACGGTGATATTTAGCGGCTTTCATTGGATTGCAATGACTCTTATAACACAGATGTCCAACAAGATGGCGCTACTCTGATTCTCTTTCTTGCAGGTGTTGGTTCTGGAATCGTTACACAGCCTTGGGATGTGTCTTCTACTTTTCAAAATATTACCTGAAGTTGACATGATTCGTGCCCTGGTCCTGATTTCGTCCATCTTGGTGGTTCCCTCAATGTGCAGGGCTATTTCCTCCACTGTTGAACAAACGACGTCAAGGACAAAACGTTGCTTCATCTCCTTGGCAAACCTTCTGGCCTTCTTCATCCAGCTTGGCAGTGTGGTGATGTGTACAGTGTCCGGCTTCACTTACAGCAGCTCGGAGAAACAGTCCATCACGGACCTAGTACAGGACAACGACCTGGACACAGTGGAGAGGGAAAGTATTATCGTGTGGGACAGAATCTCCTGGGAAATCCCCGTCGCCCTTGTTCTTATTTCAATCATGACATGGGAGAACTACATCGATGAAGACATCTCTTTCTTCGGACGCAGACTCCCCATCACCATCTGGAAGAAGAACCTCCTGCTGCTCCGTCAGAGACTGTACATATTCGTCAGCATCTGGAAGGTTGGGATGTCAATACTCCTCGCCTTGGTCCTCAGGGACGACTTCAACTTCACCCTCCTCTTTCCCCAAGAAACTACATCTTACACAAATGCCACAACCTACCCGCAGTCCAATGACCTTCACTTCCAGGAATACGGACCCTTCTATGCCCACCTGGTCACGTCGGTGTTGTGTTCCTATCTGGGGGGACTGGCGTGCAAGATGTGTATGCAGAGGTTCAGCTTCTCCCTGCCGTTGACCCTGGTCATTCCCACGTGTGCAGCTGTGGTCATGCTGCAATGCCAGGAAAACTTTATTCCGTTCCCCGGGGACACCTTCACGTGGGTGTGTCCAAGTCAGAATGACCCCTGGTTGAAATACCACCTCATTCTCCTCGGACTAGTCTGGCTGTCACAGGTCATCGTCACTGCGCATGTGTGGTTCCCTGATTCAAGCAGAATGGCAAAGATAGAAAGGTGTGTTATATGATATATTCTCCATTTAATCGCAATATGTCCATCTACTGTTTGCAGATTGAGTAGTTTGTTTATTGAAGTATAGAAATATATCTTATAAGACTCTTTGTATTAAACTATGCATTCAACTTCGGATATGCAATCTCATATGAAATATTGGATACAACGCCCTATATTATCTCTATTATCTTCCAAAAGACGTTATGGAACTCACATCTGATCCGAAAGATACATTTTGTTGTCTTACATTGTCGTTTTAGTTTGTAAATTGTTCTCTAATTCAGTTGTAATCCTCGGGTCCCCTTACATATATTTATGGCTGAGTCTGGAGCATAGATATTCACGCCAATAAAGACTACAAAAATACACACGATGGTTTAATTCAAGATTTACCAAGCTAGTTAATGATACGTACTAAGCTTAAACTATGATGCTACATACAATCTGTCTGGCAGGCTGTTCGTCACCCCAGTCAGGTGCAGCGCTCTCACAGATCAGTTCCTGCTGCTACGTCGACGTCGTGACGACCGTGACCGTATGTTGCTTAGCAACTGGGACGCCGATTCTCTTCTGGATGAAGATCCTTTCAAGTCCGACTCAGCAGTACCACTCATCTACGCATGCGCGACCATGTGGCACGAGACTGTTGAAGAAATGACATTATTGTTAAAGTCCATCTTCAGGTTAGTGGGATCTTTCAGACACTTAGGAGCGAGAGCCGTATAGTGTAGTAGGTGAGTTGATTGGATTTTGGCGCTGCTTTGAACAGTAATCCAGTTATATAACAGCGTGGCTGGTTGATGCGACCTGAAAGCCACATGCGTGCAGGTCAAAGTCAACCTTTGTGAATCCCACGTACAAGTGTATCTGCGCTAACAACCCAAGAATCATTATCTGGGCGAATTTTGCATTCGAACCCACAGTAGACTAGCATGCCTTAGGGACGCATCAATGTATGTTGGCTGGTTAGTTGGTTTGTTTAACGCCATACTCAGCAATATTCCAGCTCTATGGCGGCGGTCTGTAAATAATCGAGTCTAAGCCAGACAATCCAGTGATCAACAGCATGATCATCGATCTACGCAACTCGGATACGATGACATGTGTCAACCAAGTTAGCGAGCCTGACCACCCGATCCCGTTAGTCGCCTCTTACGACAAGCATGGGTTGCTGAAGATCAATTTTAACCCGGATCTTCACGGGTCCATCAATGTGTGTAATGATATAGGGTAACTTTGTGTCTCAATGTTTTACTTGTACAGAATCGACATAGATCACAGTGCACGGTTCCTGGCCCAAAAATACTACGGAATCAAAGATCCTGACTACTATGAATTTGAAGGTAAGCTGGTCGTAATTTCCCATATCTACATTAATGGTTTAGGTCACTCAAAAGGCTCATTGTGAAATTATATGATAACGTTTAAAATATTAGCTCTTTTATAAAAAAAAACCCAAGTATACTTGCACTCATATCAAATCAATCACATGAAACTTAAAATCATATCAGGGTATGTGTTTGTAGCCTTAGTCCTGACGGGTGAGTTATTTTTTTAACTACTTTCAGCACACATATTTTTCGATGATGCTATGGAGTTGACAGACGACGACAGAATGGTACCTAACAGCTTCGTCGTTGATCTCATGAGCTGCGTCGACGATGCCATAAGGTAAATATTGTTCTGGAGCAATATTGAAGACACACATAATCAACACGGACATGTGAAAATCAATTCATCATCGCGAACACAGGAGTGTTGTTACGCGTTCAGGATGTTGAAACACATATCAAATTTAAATGAAAATACATACAGATCGTAGCAGTCACGCTTGACTACATGACCACATAACCCCGTGATAGGGCGTATAGTGAGTGAGTGAGTGGACGGGTTTTACGTTGTTTTTAGAAACATTCGAGCAATATTACAGCGGAAGACGAAAGAAATGAGTTTCACACATTGTAGCCATCTTTGGGGAATTGATCATGGGCCAACGTGGTAACTACTAGGCTATCCAACCTCCCCAAACTAGAACTACAAAGGTATGTCTCAGTGGGAGAGAGATCGGCGGGGTACGGAGAATATGACAAGATGATGCATCCGTTGATATTTTTCATCAGCTGTTGTTGTTCATGTTACAGCTCTGTACACGAGCGACAGATAACCCTTGGTCCGCCGATCCGTACCCCCACTCCGTACGGTGGTCGTCTGACGTGGAACCTGCCTGGGGGCACACAACTCACCGTACACATGAAGGACAAGGCTAAGATACGTCACAAGAAGCGGTGGTCACAGGTCAGTGGCATCCTACGGCGCGTGTAATTCCTTGACTGTGCTGTTGTAAGTTCAGGATAACCAGACGTTTATCAACGTGACGTCATTATTATGTCCATGTGTCTAGCGGTCATGACCTTCAGATGTCCTTGTGTCTCCGGTTTATATGGAGCAGGCTTGCAGGAATGCGAGATGGCATTCACAGGGAAATGGTTGAGCGGGGATTTGTGTAGGCAAACACTTAGCCTCTGAATATGAATAATTTTGACAGAACCAATGATTCTTATTAAATTGAAAAGGAGCCCCAGTGAGATGGGAGAAACCTCAAAAAGCTAGACTTGCTTCACTTCAGAGCTGTAGCATTGCAGAACGAACTGAGCTGAAGGGAAGATAATGTAGTTCAAGGACTGTGAGAGAGACTAGGATTGGTAGACACAGTGTCTGGTGTCGTTTAGGGTGAGAGTGTGTTGGGTAGTATGTGTTGGGTCAAATAGGGTTGGGGGTGCCTAATGACGAACGTAATGGAGCTGATCAAGTTTGTTTTGGGATGGGGTCAGTTGAGTAGATGATGTCGTTGCGAGGGTGTGAACAGGGCACAGGCATTACTTGGAGCAGGTTGATTGGATTCATGGGAGTGGAGGGTTTAGGAGTGGGATTCGATTTGTTAGTTACGTAAATTCGTTTTACGTAAAAAGCGACTGAACATTTCTTCAAGTCATCAATCTCTGAGATACAGTTAAATGTTATACTTGCAATCCTTCTTGTCCATATTTTCAACAGAGCCCAGTGCACGTGCCTAAAATTAAAACGTTAATCAATTCATTATTGTCCCCACCAGGTGATGTACATGTATTATCTGCTTGGGTTCCGAATCCTCGCCCAAAATGACAACAGCAGTCCAGAAGATATCCTTGGTGATAAAAAGACGGACCAGTCCGGGGAAAATGCCAGACTGACAGCAACCCAACTGCGCAGGCGTAGAAGATGTGCGCACTTCACTAGAAGTGTGATCTTTAACAACGTTAGCGAAGATGTACAGACGAAGGTGGGACCCTCACACGGTTGTCATGGATACGGTAGCAACAAAATGTCTAAAATAATTCTATTTGTTAAATATTGAGTACCCTTGCACTGTAAATACATCGTTTCGCAATTCAGTGAGTGAATAAGTGTTCCAGGAATCACGAACCCTGTATGCAGTGTGCGAAATAGCCACTGGCCCGCTAGCCCGTGACCAGTAAAAATCCAGCCAGGCCAGTAAATCCCCACAGTCACTGGCCCGATTGGCTAGTGAATTTTCATGGGGTCATTTTGTAAATATATCACTCTCCCCGACTTGTTAAGTTATAATACACTTTTAAATCATGCAAGATTATGGCCGGATAAAAATGTTCATCATATTAACACCTTATTGATGAAACCCGTGCCTACATTCAAATTTCGGACTAGTGAATTATTTTGTGGGCAAGTAACTTTCAGGCATAGCTAGCCGGACTGGCTAGCAACATTTAGACTATTTTGCACCACTGCTTGTATGAGAGTATAATGCCCACTTCATGTCCTGTAGGCAGAGAATACATTTATCCTGGCTCTGGACGGAGATGTGGACTTCCGGCCGGACGCTGTCCGACTGTTGGTGGACAGGATGACCAAGAACAAGAAGGTCGGGGCGGCGTGTGGTCGAATCCATCCAACTGGGTCCGGTAAGCATTCACTGCCATCATAAACTGCAGGAATAAATGTGCACTTCATCCATAGTAACATGACGATTGTAGACTCCACGTTATCAGTCCTCAATGTTTTCTGTGTTTCTTTTCAGTGGTTTCTTAGATAAAAAGCATCATAGGCACTTCTATTTCTGACTCGAACAGTTTCTTTGAATAAATTTAAACAAAGAGTTATTCCTAACTTAAACCTTCTTCTTGTTAGGTCCTATGATCTGGTACCAGATGTTTGAGTACGCTATCGGTCACTGGCTGCAGAAGTCCACGGAGCACGTGTTTGGGTGTGTCCTATGTGCCCCTGGATGCTTCACGCTGTTCCGGGGGGTCGTCCCTCATGGATGACAACATGGCAAGAACATACGCCAAGAGGGCCACCCAGGCGGGTCACTACGTACAGTACGATCAGGGTAAGGAATCTACCACAGCCATTGTCACCTGTCACATCTGACCTGTGCTTTAGATTTATCAAGGCATGTATAACATTAACTCTTTATATGGGGAATCGAACATGGTTCTGTAGCTTGACAAGCGGACACTGTGACATGTTGGCTATTTTGCTGGCCAGTAACAACAGATAGGGGTTTAATAGTGTTGCTGTTATCTACCGGAACATATATGTATGAATATGATTATTATTGTTATTAACGTATTTCGGCTTTGCATAAAGTGAAGACTTTCGTTTCGAAAGCAGCATCTCTTGAAACCTATATTCACAGTAAAGAAAAGGATGAGACATAATCTTATCTTTCTATTTTTCAATTGTTGAGCTCGTAATGGTATTAGAATACTGACTATATCTGCATATGCAAGGATATGAGTTAATCACATGATCCTAAAAATAGTTAATATTTTCAGGCGAGGATCGCTGGCTGAGCACCCTTCTCATTCAGCAAGGTCACAGAATCGACTACTGCGCAGCCGCGGATGCTTTCACGCATGCGCCTGAAACCTTTTCCGAATTCTTCAACCAACGACGTCGATGGGGTCCTTCAACTTTAGCCAACATCATCGATCTGTTGTCCACGTGGAAGAGTGCTGTCAAGATCAACGACAATCTGAGTTCACCGTACGTGTTCTACCAGGTCGCTCTGCTGGTATCAACAATCCTTGGCCCCGCTACAGTGCTGCTGATGATGGCGGGTGCGTACTCGGTGGTGTTCAAGACGTCCATCCTGCAGTCCCACGTCATATCCCTTGTCCCCGCCGTGCTCTACATCCTGGTCTGCCTGTACACCAAGTCTCAAACACAGCTTCTGGTGGGAGCGTTCCTCAGTGCTGTCTATTCCGTAGTCATGACAATCGTTGTCGTAGGCACTGTAAGAACTGCTATAGATGGAACCATCACCAGCCCTAACGTCGTCTTCCTGATAATGCTGTCGTTTATATTTCTCATATCAGCTGTTCTCCATCCTGAAGAGTTTGGGTGCGTGGTGCCAGGGCTCCTGTATTTCATCTGCATCCCCGCTAGTTACCTGGTCCTCAACATCTATTTCTTGTGTAATCTCAACGTGGTGTCCTGGGGAACACGAGAAGCACCACAGAAGAAGTCAAAAGAAGATGTTGAAAGGGAGAAAATTGAACAAGAAGAGAAAAAGAATAAAAGGAAAAAGAGTGGCATCCTTGGATGGCTAGGTTTGAAGAACATTATTGGAGAGCTTGGCGAACTGTTCCGACAGATGAGATCAGTCATACATGAATCTTTCAAAATGAATGATGACTCACAAAAGAAGAAGACAGATCAGCTGCTGGAGGAATTGATCCTTGAGATAAGGAAGGATAGAATGGGTTCGGGAAGTTCCCAGCAGAGCATAACACCATCTTCTTCATCGACGGGTAGTGTTCCTGATTCTGAAGGCTCAGAAGAACACGTGGCATCGATGGCAATCATTCCGGCTTCTAACGAAGTTGTTCCTGAATCTGTACACGGAATCCCGTTGTGGTTGAAGAAAGAAGATCCTGACAATCCCGGCTGGCTTTCTAGTTCAGACATTGGCAGTGGTCCACTGGTTTATCTTGATGAAACAGAAAACATATTCTGGAAGCAGCTAATCAGGAAATATCTCCGACCAATCGTCGATGATAAAGAACACAAAGACAAAATGTCAGCTGATCTCAAATCCTTGAGGGATAACGTTGTGTTTGCGTTCTTCATGGTCACAGCATTATGGGTCGCCTTCTTTCTTCAACTGGAAATTCTTCAAGATGAGCTTAAAGACTATCTGTTTATCAAAATACCTAGGTTAAATTCAAGTGGGGAGCCACTAACCTTTCAGCCATTTGGACTTGCCTTTTTTGCCTTTTTCGCAATCTTGATCATGTTCCAGTTTGTCGGTATGCTTCTCCATCGATGGGGAACGGCGCTGCATCTGTTGTCGATTACCAATATTACATTTGGACAAACCTTTACAGAACAAGACAAAGTAAAGGATATAATAATGAAAGTAGCAGAGCTCCAGAAGATGCGGGATATAGAACACGAACCGGATCCCGACTACGATGAGCCTATGCCGGACTACGAGGGAGAGAATGACATGGACAGGTCCTATACCGAGTCAGTTCCCGACCGACCCCCTCCGTCCTACCACACCCAGGATATAACAGTGCCCATCTCCCAGCGGACCAATGGAACGATGAGACAGATTTTCAACCAGCAGGGTCAGCCCACGGGCCGGACACTACAGAGCGTGTTTGAGAAGCGATACCGCAATGAGGTGGTCAGGGGGAGAGGTCTGACCTCCCCGTACGGTCCTCACTCTGTGCTGGAGGTTCCCGAGTATCCAGAACCGGACTACACCAATTACTGATCTTTGTCCTGCGGAAAACACTGCACAGGCTCAAAAAATGTTTTCCGGATATCCTACTTTTCAGACTAGTATCATTAGACGCGGTTACATGTATTTGAGTGACATTACAAGGTAGAATTCGTTTGGTAAAGGCAGGAATTACGGGATTTGTACTGTAATTAGCTCAGGATGGGAAGGATTTGACCTCGTAAACTTACAGCAGTCACTCTGCTAAGGAGGAGATGAAAGTCAGAGTGACGTTTAATCCGTGATCCGACTGTGGCAATGACAGGGCAGGCTGCACAGGTAGAGTGACGTGTTGTGTGGTTGAGTGAGTGGTTGGTTGAGTGAGTGAGTGAGTGAGCTAGTGGTTGAGTGAGTGAGTGTAACGAAGGGTGGGTGTTGAGTCAGTTGGTTTCTTGGAAGGCAAGCGGGTGGGCGGACGAGTGAGTGGACGAGTGAGTGAGTGAGTGAGTGAGTGAGTGAGTGAGTGAGTGAGTTCTACCTCCACACCGATAACGGGTAGCACCAAACACCCACTTCTCGCATTGGACCGAAGACTGTCCAAGCATTTATAAATATGTTAGGGGATGTTCTTAGATGTTGTATTAGCATTTCAGTCAACCACAGAACTACAAATGACATGCATATGAAACAACTAACAAATATAACTTCAATTGTAATAATCACTGTAACAAATATAGAAAAGCCTCACTATCATCCAAATCGGTCTGTTAGTATCGTCTTGTCATATATACATTTGTCAAAATCATGGTCAAAACCATTAAATCCATCTTTTCCATATTTGATACATCATTGAATTACTTGAATCCAAATGTATATAATAGAATTATGTATGTTTGTATTATGGTCAGCTGGTCATATGTCACCAAAGGCTTTGGAGGAAAGAAGTTGAGCAGATTATTTTAATATAATTATGAACAAATATTTGTTTGCTTTGTTAAGGTTTTAGGTGCTTGAAGAGCACATACCTATACATACAGGTGTACAAAAGGCAAAGGAACTGAGAGCTACCCAAAGTCCCCGGTGGTTTTCTTTGTTTCCATGTGTTTTTAATGATGTTTTGTTTGAGGGACCATGTTTATGTTACATTGTTGTTCTCACGCATTTCTGTAATTCACTTATGTATCAGCGTAGCTAATTTATTTATTTATTTTGCGAGTATTAATATTTTTTATGCATTGAACACTATTATGTTTGTTTGGTGTTCACAGGCTGACTGAGCAGTGATTAGTATTTATCCTTGTTTCAAAACAGTTTCGTTTGTAGAGAGTGTATAAGATTTTACGCTGCTTTTATCAATATTCCAGCAATATCACGGCGGTAACGCCAGAACTGGGTTCCACACGTTTTGTCCATGGGGAATCGACCCCGGGTTTTCGGCGTGACGAGCGAACGCTTTAACCACCCGGCTACCCACCGCCCTGCATAGTTTTAATACATTCCACAGATGCTTCAATCGCATCTATCAGAGAACGTCGCTTTTATCTTCGTTTGTCATTACACCCCTCGAGATAGGGCATTGTCTGACTGACAGCCCGAGGTCATCTATTGCGTCATTCATTTCACATGTCATCGCCTCTGCTGACGTCATTATCACCCAAAGTGCGATATCTACAATCAGCATCTCGGATGCTTCAAGTGTATATTGCTGGAGGTGATGTAACTTATCTACATCTGTGGGTCTCGTCATCTTGGCGGCAGTGTACCTGTACTTAATTCTCATGTTATTAAATGTTTCGAATATTGAAATAAAGGTTATCAAATTCTGTAATAGGAGTTGGTCATTATGCAGAAGGTTTGTCAATGTACACCTGGTCCTTTTTACAAGAGAAACACGTGGTCTCTTTCATAATCTTCTGGTGTTTTCATTGGATGTCCACATCGACTCTGGACGAAAAAGAAGCAAACATATTCGAATAAGAATATTTTATTTCAGTTGTGAATAAATTACATTCATACATTTAGAGAACAGAAATATACACACAAAGCCTATAGGAGACGGGTGTAGTCTAAAGTTAGTATACGACATCAAATTACTTAAATTCTATAATTGTCGTTCTAACAGGACTGTATGGTACAGTCCAACATGCTTGTGGGTGTGAGATAGTCGTATCTATACTGTGCGTGAAGAAAGGAGTTCATGATACATGTTATGTAGGGATCTATTTCATATGTATAGTTGTTGAGTATTTACATGTGACATTCACGGTGGGTATTGATAATGTTTTCGGTATCTAATTTTTATTTTATTTGCAACCTGGGGTGTGGGGGGGAGGCACATGCCGTACAACAGTTTACAGTGTTACATTAAGATACACTATACGAGATGGTATATACAAACGGCATTATTCACTGCAGTGTAGTTAATGTATATGGTACGCCTGTATTCGGTGAGCGAAAAGCCATCTGTAAAGTATCACGCGTCTGGGTCAGGATGACACGGGGTGATCACCTACCTCAACCACATGCCACATCTCACCGCATAGCCGCCTTCTGTAAAGCAGCTAAAGGGAAGGCGTCCTGATCGACCCGTTTTTTTTAGCGGGTTGTGTTACAGCACACCGTCGGGCGGTGGGGTAGCCCAATGGTTAAAGCGTTCGCTCGCCACGCAGAAGACCCGGGTTCGATTCCCCACATGGGTACAATGTGTGAAGCCCATTTCTGGTGTCCCTCGCCGTGATATTGCTGGAATATTGCTAAAATCGGCGTAAAACTAAACTCACTCACTCACAGCACACCGTATAAGGTAATATTGAAGACCGATGTTCGGCTTGCCTATATATAGTTCTTCCTGCAATCAGAGGCGGGCCAGGCTTTTGAAAATGCAGTGGGAGTATCTTATATATTCATCTGAATATATTTCTAGAAAAAAATGAAACACAAATGGATCTCGGAAATAATCTTAATCCGTGAAATATAGGTGTGCACTTACGTAAGCGGTGTATAGGAGAAGGCCCTTAGACTAGCCACGATACATTCCTGTCGAGCCTTAACCGTGAAGATCCGGGTTAATCTTCAGCAACCCAGTATGCTTGTCGTAAGACCGGACCGGGTGGTCAGACTCGCTGACTTGATTGACACATGACATCGTATCCCAGTTGCGTAGATCGATAGTTATGATGTTAATCACTGGATTGTCTGGTGCAGAATATTAACAGACCGCCGTCAAACAACAAACAAATCAGGTCGATCACTGCAGGAGACATCGATCTGAATTGGAAAGAAATAGACATACTCAAATAACCGTGTTTCGTAAATGTGAAACCCCTTGTCATTAATACTATATTCTCATTAAGAAGGTAGTGTTTATAGGTGTATCACATTGTTAGACTGAAAATTATGAGTTGTCAACACGTTAAATCTCCCGCCAAGTCGACGTCAGCACGTTTCGGGGAAACCCGGAAGTGACCCCAATGCCATTCCCCGAGTTGTGTAAACTGAAAGCAGATAGCTGTAGCGAGGGAAACGAGAACAACTACCATCAACCTTCAACACTGACGACAGCATGGCAGCGGCAGCCGTTCCTGCCGACGCGTCTAGCAGCCTTGAAAACGACAGAAAGGTATTGTGTATGCCCCTCCTCTGTCCCTGCCCCAGCGTTCAGGTCACCCGCACCCGGCAGATCACACCCGATATAAGACAGATACAACGATCGCTGAGATTAGCCATGTATTTATAGCCGAGCATTGTATTAACCCACCAGACACCGACGGGTCTGGTGTTTCTGTTTTCACTGAAAATAGACTTGAAGATTTGCTGACTGCGCCTACGAAATACCGCGCCCCTTGCGTTGTACATAACTCCATGTTTGACCTCTGTCACGTGGTTGGAGTGTTTGACCTCGCCTGCATGTTCAAAGGCATGTACATGTATGTCATTCATTCATGACATATCCATCACTTTAATGCCTGTCACAGCACGACCCTGGTTATAACAGTGTCATGACAGCGACCTTTCCCCGTTATACAGCGACTCGGCGGTATAGGTTCCTACAAGTGTCAAATACTACAAAAATAGGTTGACGGGTCGCGATATGTGAATCAAGTTTCAGTTTCAAGATATGCCTAAAATTCTCCGCCCTTCTTTACTGAGCTGGGTCCTGTGTACAATTAGGTCGCTGGAAATCAATGTTTCAACTGCACAACGCAGTGAAATGACATCGACAACTCTTACGTCACGGTGTCTGTTACTGCTGTTGGTTGTCAACAACAAATGTGGTGACATTCTTTGCTTCAAACACATCCCGTAGTTTGTCGTATATTACCAGAGAATAACGTTATTGAATCTTAATCATAAACGTATGATCTGTTTGTAATGTAGCCAATGTTTTTCAGAAGAAACGCATGTGTATTTGTAATGTTTATAATAATCCATTGAACAATATTTATAAAGTAGATTTTAATAAGATTTTGTTTATTTTTTCATTTTTCTTCCACATGTTACCAGGTCCAGATCGGCCGAAATATTTAATAAAAAGACACGGTTCTGTATACTTAAAATATTGATTATCATATAATAGTATTGAGCAGCTGAGGATAACGAAACATCTGTGATGATGAAACAAAGTTTACTTGGTGATCGTATTTGGAAAGATTTTCAACTCACTGCTAATCTTGGAGAAAACTGTGAAATGAGAAATGGATTATATGTGAACTTTTGACATAATATGTACCTTTAGACGAACCTCAAGCGTGTGTCTATGACCGAAATTTCAGTGATTGGTATTTACGATCCCTATATGAGCAAACACACCTGAAGATTAGAAGTCGTATCTATCAACGAAAGGCTGCCGAGTCTCATATATATTTATTGTGTAGAGTAGTATATAGAAGGAAACTCCTCAACTCATAAAAATGATAAAAACCCTTTAGTTTTGAGAACTATAAATAGTTTAATGTTGAACGGAAAGTCCAGTATAGGGTCATGGCCCAGAATTATTTCAGCTGTGTTAAATATGAGCGGAGACACAAGTTTTTCTGATAAAGTTCTGTCACAAAAGGCACGAGCAGAGTGAACCTCACAGCTGATTTTATATGTAAGAAATATATAGAAAATATCTATATTGTATCCAAAATAAGAACTTACTGGTTCTTAGTCACACTTACTGAATATTTGTTCAAATCTCTTTATTCCATTACTGAAGAGGCCACAGGCCTATAGTACAAAATATAAAAACAATACTGAATGTTTGTGCACTATATATTAAAAAAATTATTGAAACTAATTTCAAAGGTGTTTTGCCTCTGGCTCCAAAGGAAGCTGTAGATAATGGAGACTGGTTATTCTGTGTTGATGCTCTGTGAAGGTTTTTGTTTGTTTTTTAACGCCGCACTCAGCAATAGTCCACCTATATGGCGACAGTCTGTAAATAATCTAGTCTGAACCAGACAACCCAGTGATCAACAGCACGAGCATCAAACTACGCAATTGGGGCATGATGACATGTGTCAACCAAGTCAGCGAGTCAGACCACCCGAGTTTAACAAGTAGAGCTATCAACCTCCCACATTAGACATGACACAATGCTGTGTTATTCTTTTTGGCCACAATGTATTTATAGGGTACAGCAACCTATCAATACACCTAGGTTCCTGTAAGGTAATTGTCAGGAACGTCTACAACACCATTCAACAAGTCACCATTAATTCCCCGACGATTGTTATTCCTTACTAGCTTCTTTGTTGCCATAATCTTTCAAAATTTCAGTCGACAGACAATTTTTCGACATAGTAATATTTCAGTTTCTGTTAATTTGATGTAAAACGAATGTGAATGCTGAGGTAAAACGTGTGTTGATCAGTGTTTGTGTTTTATGTATATAAGGCACGGAGACTGCAGGAGCTGTTCAAAGGTCGTTTCAGTCAAGGGGAGGCCCTCGCCATCATTGTCGACAAGGATGGAGATATCCCAGCAGCAGTTGACTTTATTATGAGAGGTGAGATATGTCGACTTGTCACTGTGTAGCGGCAGTAACGTCGCCCTGCTGCTTGGAGAGACACGCGACCTGTGCAGTGACGCGTTTTGTATCCCAGGCGATTATTACAGGAATCGGGGAGATTTTCAAGACGCTTCCTTCAGTTTTAGAGTAACGTTGTCATGGCTGTTCCTGATGTATGGCGTCAAGGTAACAGTATCAACAGATGGTTTGATGTTACAGTTATGGTTGATAGCCAAATGTCATTTAAAAAAAGAAAATGTAATATGCCTGAACTGTGAAGAGGTTGCTTAATGATTCTGAAAAATGGGTTGCAGATGTGTATGTGTGTGCGCGCACGTGCTTTGCAGTGCGTGCTCTCTCTCTCTGTGAGTGAGCGGGTGAGTGAGTGAATGAATGATTGAGCAGTATTGGATTGCTAGGGCTTCATCAGTTATGATTTACTTATTTACCTTTCAGGTTCACCTGAACAAATCCGGAAGTTTCTACATAGCCAGAACCAGGTGAGTCAGTATCCATAGACCAGCTGTACTGGTGTCCCTGTCACGTGATTGGCTAGGGGTAGGGACTGAGTGCCTGTCCTAATATTTCAGAACATGGCAGTCGTTGGTTGTTTGGCTGGTTGTTTAACGCCACACTCAATGTCAACCTTTGTGAATCCCACGTACAAGTGTATCTGTCCTAACAACCCAAGAATCATTATCTGGGCGAATTTTGCATTCGAACCCACAGTAGACTAGCATGCCTTAGGGACGCATCAATGTATGTTGGCTGGTTAGTTGGTTTGTTTAACGCCGCACTCAGCAATATTCCAGCTCTATGGCGGCGGTCTGTAAATAATCGAGTCTGGACCAGACAATCCAGTGATCAAGGGCCTGATCATCGATCTACGTAATTAGGATATGATGACATGTGTCAACCAAGTCAGCGAGCCTGACCACCCGATCCCGTTAGTCGCCTCTCACGACAAGCATGGGTTGCTGAAGACGAATTCTAACCCGGATCTTCATGGGTGATTGGTCTGAGTGCATGTCTTCATCCTTCAGAACATGGCGGTCAGTTTCAATAAGAGAGCGAAGCCATTGTAACATACGTCTCTTGAAATTAACCAGCATCTATTTGGTCTCTGAAATTATAGAATTGTGACAGAGGCATGCAAGTACAATTAAAGGCGCCCTGGTGACATTGGACATTCAGAAACTTGCATTTGCTTGACAACGGTGTTAGTACCTCATTGCAATAAAGAAGTTGACTATCCATAGAACTTGGATTTCCTTTAGACTGAGGGACAGTGTTGTAGAGTAAATGATATGTCGTATCGTCAGTATTACAGCAACGCCATCGCTTATCCAGGGTACTATACCTTCTGATATATTTTACTGTGAAACTATACTTGACCTATTCACTCCTGTAATTCTGTGGGAAGTGACATCTCTCATCGTCGCACGTAATTTATCTCCTTAGTAGGTGGTATGTGATTTAACAGCTGTTCTAAATGTTGGTTTGACTGTCACTAATCTGTGATATTTACCCCAGAACCTGTTGCAAGAACTACGAAGGGACACAACCATCCTGTACAAGAACCTGCGGAGTGGCCTCCCCTGCACAGTTCGCCAGTTTGGGTGTGGTCCCTGTGACAATTTCTGGTGGCAGAAAGTTCCCTCCAGGAAGGAGGTAAGTGACTTCGCTTTGACCAGCCACGGAGTAACGAACTACTAGCAGAGATGCCAACCTCTACGATTTTATCGTAGCCGCTACGAATTTTAACCTCAAACTACGCCAATACGACTGCACTAGAAATTCTACGAAATTTCAAGAAAATTCATTAAAATTTGGATATCTAGACAGAAACATATATTTTCGTTGATTAAATACATTTTCGCCAAAAATAGACGACAAGAAGAAATGTAATGCTGATAATTTGGAAATCTGCTTTTGGAGGTATGTGAAATTAAAGCTTCACTCTTGATTTGTGGTATATTATCTTTCTCAGAATCCATTATGATTTTAAGTGTTTAGTTGACTATTAATTTTATGGTCAAACTGCTGATGTTGATCCTTGAAACTACTATTTGCAACACTTTGGGGTTGGCATCTCTGGTGACCAACTTGTCAACTCAGCTAACAGTTTTGGTCGCAGCGTGAATATTTTATGTTTCCAGTGCCAGTCGGTTGCATCCATTAGCCTTTGGGGATGTGGTTTAGAATAGTAGCATCTCTGTGTCTCTAAAACGAATGTTAACGAGCAGAACCAACTGTAGATTTTCGGAAGGCTATTACAACTCCACCAAAACGGATTGAGTATTGAGTGGATATCTTCGTTGGTTAGGAGTTCATTGGGGCGGTTGGGTAGCCTAGTGGTTAAGGCGTTCGCTTGTCACGCTGAAGACCTGGGTTCAATTCCCCACATGGCCACAATGTGTGAAGTCCATTTCTGGTGTCCCCCGTTGTGATATTGTGGGATTTTTGCTAAAAGCGGCGTAAAACCATACCTAATCACTACTCACTCTTTCTTCCTTATTGAAGCCTGTTCCTTTACATGACATCGGAGTGATCATAAAGTCCACTCGTCATTTTCACTGGGAGGTCAAAGGCCACTCCAAATGACGTGAGGTGACCTCCGCTTCAATAGTTAATACAAAAAGGCATCGTTTCATCGATACGTACAGGACTGTAGTTAAAGTGAAGGAAGTAGAACTGTTATGTTGTGTATTTCATTTCGATTTAACGTGAACTCGTTACATCTGGATCTTGCAGGTGAGCTCATGCAAGAAGTGTAAAATCAAATATGATCCCGTTCCGAGGGGTCACGAGTGGGGGTGGGCAGAGTTCAAATGTCCCTGCGGCAATGAATTCAAGTAAGTGTGTCCGCCTGTTGAATTATTTACTGTTAATATAACATGTAACAATTGCTGAGTAAATAGCTCACCTGTATTGAGTGTGCTATTTGTACTCTGATGAAACATTGATGAAGATTTCAAGATGATTTTTGTTCGAGGTCATGTCACGACTGGTGACTGTAACGATATGTGGGCTGATGGCGTAACATGTTACCCCGATCGATGCTCATGCTGTCCACCACTGGTTTCCAGGAAAAGCCTCGATTATCCACAGCCCGCCATTTTACAGCTGGATTATTTCCGATAACATTCACTCACTCACTCACTCACCCTGACCAATCGGCTATGATAGCTAAGAGGTATCCAGCGAGGTCCATTTTTAAGACTGTAATGTAACCTTATACTGAGATCTTTTGTTACTGTTGTCATTTGTGTTGCAATGGTTTTACCATTTTATGTTGCATATTTACCATTCTATTTCAGTGGGTTTGGCCAAATAGGTCACACTGGTAGTCCCTGCTTCAAGTGCCACACAGTCAGTTTTCCGCTCAAGATTCTGCCCCCTCGTAGGAACAACAGACAACGTCGTTCTACAGACCACGCTTGCAACGGGACCAACTGTTACAACGCCCCTATGTATGGAAGAGGGGGCTTTGGAGGAGGGGATCGTGGAAGGGGCTGGGGAGGCAGGGGAAGAGGTGAGGGGGCCAACATCGACGACCTTGACAGTATCCTTATTAATAATTACATTTAGTGTAAATGTATTAAAATTCTCAGCCAGTCAGCATTGTGATATGATATTATTTATGACCCGAGTTACATTTGTCGCGTTATGTCCTGATAAATGTGAAGATCTTTGATTTCGATTTGATACCCTTCTGTGTGAAGATCTGACAGGGAAGGGGAACTTTCAAATCAGATCGAGTGAGTGATTTTAGTTTTACGCCGCACTCAGCAATATTCCAGCTACATGGCTCCAGACTTCACGGTACGCAATCGCGAAACATTCTGCCAACCACGACGTCTATGTTCTCGGAAACGATGTAATCGAGGAAGTCCGAATGCGAACACATAATGCCTCTTTATTGTACATGGTTAAGTGGAGAGTATAGTTATGTTCTGGGCGGTTTTCTGTTGGCTGAGATCGACATTTTTGTATCCAAGCGGTAAAAATATAGTTTTAAAAACCTTGCATGCCATTAGCTGAAACCGTACTTCATTTTGATAGGCTAGGGATTTTGGTAGGGCAAATCTGAAATCAGATTAATATTCATTTAAACAGGTATCTCGTTGATGTAAGAGATCTGGTTTAATGATACTGGACAAATTCTAGCTTATGTCTTCGCACATGCAACAATATGAAAGGACACTTTTGCAAGTGTAAAGGAAAAAGATCGTTTTAGCTGAAGAATACTAAGATAGACCCCTAGACATGAAGCGAAACAGAAATGTTTATGAATGATTTGATTATTGTGGTTTCAACTAAACTGAACCTGTACGGAACAAAACCAGATATGTTATCATTTATCTAACATGTTATTAGAAAGCTGGATAAGGACGAGTTGGCAATTCTAGTAAGGAAGATTCAAGTTCTTTGATCTTTATTTTCTTTGACTGCTACCTCAAAATGTATTAAGTATTTTATTCAAGTACACCCCTTTTAGAAAAATCGCGCAAGCTATATCCATGTTTTATTCTGTTTACCAGGTAACAGAGAGCCCCGCTGTTGTCATCCCCGTTCAATTCGAGCATCTGGGGGAAAAATGGTCTTGTACGCTAGCCAGCCCCACAGGAGTACCGGTTCTACAGTTGGCACATTCTTAACACAGGACGATCTTGTCTCGCACGCCGGGACATTCACCTCAAGTCTCGTTGATGTGCGAGAAGATGACGAGGAAGCTTTGGCCGGAAGTGATCGCGAAGACAGCGATGGCGGCCCAGCGGACGATGGCCAGTGACCCACCCCCATTACAACAGTTATACTGGCATAGGTCTGTGAGAAGTAATTCCAAATAATATGAAAGACCTGTTCCAGATACCCTACATATCACTGTTACGTGTCTTAATTTCAGAACAGGTTGTATCAAAATTATTACCACAAACAATGCTAAAACCTTGACATCAAATCGCTTCATAGTTCAATTGAGACCTGAGTATATAAATTACAAATTGGAGCGCTTATCATTGGTTTACCGTGCTGTGTATATATGTATACATTAACCATAGTTTCAAGATCAAGGAACATGTATACATAATTATTACAGTTCAGATAATGGTCTCTAAGTCGCGACCCGGACGCGCCTATATCGCTCTTTGTTCGCGCTGTGTGTGTGTTGTGAAGGGGGTGGGGGGGTGAGATTTAGGGACACGAGTTTTAATATTGCATAATGTGCCATAAATGCGTGGGATGTTGGTTACAAGATAACAATACTTGATGTGGACTGTGAATTAAACATAATTCCCTAGTTGTCAAATTTATTATGTTAGATATTTATACATATATTGACTGTCAACAGACAAGAGCACACGCGACACATTGTTGGATTCTGTGTGCAGGAACGTGTTACAATATATCGTGAATCATTTTCGTTTCGTGTTTCTGACCACGTAGGTTGATATATCGGGTTAGAACCGATCATGTACTGACCGCCGTCATATAGCTGGAACACTGCTGAGGGCGGCGTTAAACAGATTAAATAGAATCACGTGGAACTACATACCTGCGTGTGGATGACCATTCAGCGATTGCTGAAAGCAATAGGACATCACGTTATAATATTACAATCACCCTTGCACAACAGTGTGTTGATACTTATATTTCCTTACAATTGACACACCATAGTTATTTGCACTGTGATCAAAACGACAACTATATCGATCAAACTAACGAAACTCGGAATGACTGAAGTGTACCGAGTGATTGTCAAGACTGCCGTGTTTTTTCATTCTCAATTCTCCACTCTGGGTCCCATATCAAAAAGTCCTCTCAGTCCCTTGACGATCCGTGTTACAATTTCTTCTTCAGCAGCCCATGCTTGTCGTAAGAGGCGACTAACGGGATCGGGTGGTCAGACTCGCTGACATGGTTGACACATGTCATCTTATCCTAGCTGCATAGATCGATGCTGATGCTGTTGATCACTGGATTGTCTGGTCCAGACTCGATTATTTGCAGACCGTCGCCATATAGCTGGGGTATTGCTGAGTGCGGCTTAAAACAACAAGCAAGCAGACAAACAAACAAACGTCTTTTCGGGTTAAACCATAACAGGAAAGGATATGAAGGGGGCTGTAGTATACTGAGAATGCAGATTTCTCCGACTTTGGTATGGGGCTGAATAAGACGTCATCGTATCCTAATTGCATACATGTAGATTGATGATCATGCTGTCGATCACTGAATTGTCTGGTCCAGATTATATATAGACCGACGTCATATAGCTTGAAAATTGTTAAGTGTGTCCTCAAACCTCCAAACAAAAGAAAGTTATCAGCAGAGTCGCGATGGTGCCACTCATATTTAACATTAGCTGGGGGACGTCTTATCACAAGGATCGAAATGGGACCCAGATGTATTATTGTATGACTGTTGTTCTAAGAGGAACACAATTGTAGCATGCACGTGTGTCGTTGATGGCTCATGCACGATGATAACGACGACATTATTGTATTCAATAAAATGAATTTTAATTTGCAATATGATTTTATCACATGTAGTAGTCATTAGGGTTGATGTATGCTCTGTTTTGTCTGAAATGAATGTGTGCTCATTTGATATAATTCAGCTGTGATAAACCAGTCTTGTCTAGCCATTGTACTGATCGGGATATGTTTTACTCTAAGTCGTTGCTTTACCACCACACATATCATTGTAATGGTTTACCTTCCTTTTGGAAAGACCAGACTGTCTCGCATGACGTGATCAGCACAGGTAACAATTTTAAATTAAAAACTGTCAAAATGTTGACCTTCATTGAATGGTTAAGTCATATTCAGAGCTCCAGATAAGATTTAGCTCATGTGGGTACTGTACACACTGTATTGTTTGGAGTGGGTATTATGAATGTTGAGTGGGTATTTCATTTTCCGTTACCCACTGCTTTCAAATATGTGGGTATTTCAGTGATTTTACTCAGCTAAGTATATGTCATTGAGTAAGTTTACTAAGCAGGTATGTACTGCCTTATGTCATACCTCATCAAAACCAACTTAAATATAATGGAAATGATTTCATAAAAAAGTACAACACTAGTCCTATACTAACAGTAGAACTTGATAGCAACCAATGTCTTTTTCATAACGCAAGCGATTTTTATAAATTTATTTCGTACCCATATGTTTTAAACTTTTTGCGTATCTAACACATTAAATGCGTAATTGGTACGCAACAATTATTTTTCAATGCGTAACTGGAAATTATCTATGCGTATTTTACCCGGATACGCAGCTTATCTGGGCCTCTTTGAGTCATGTTCCTTTACTTTAATGTACGTAGCGCCGTGAGCAGGCAATGTGCCTAGATATGAGTGCCATATAGGCGGACTATTACTATTGCTAATTAATATGATAATGTACTTCTACTTCTGTTCATATAATGTACTTAATCCCAACATACCGTGCCACTCAGGACCGATCTTTAATAGTCCAAGGGTCGGTCTCAGGATGGATACTGGTAGTTTTTTAAGACGTAGTATATTTTGTCATTGCTTTAAAATATTCAAATAATTCTATGAATAAAATGCCAAACTATAAGGAGATACCCTCAGAACAAGACAGACAAATTGTCTACCCGAAAACAATAGCACCGAAGTGACTGCAGCCTCATTGTTCTTCCAAACATTCTCTGGAAATTGTATTTCTCTCAACTCCAAGCATTATCAAATGGCTAGCTGCTTGTCATGTACTATTCACTGCTATACCAGCTACATTAACTATAGGTAATCGTTCATGCCACGACTCATTAACTAGAGTAAGTAATGTCACAGAATCGGGGTCTACTTAACTTTTGTTGAGTAGCATGTATGATATTGCATCTGTATACTCAGGATAAATTTTTCAGTGTGATTATTTGAGGTGATTCTTTAGCTAAAACGTTGTTGGTATTGGATGTTTTTACTTTATGCCGTAAACGTTTCGCCTGTTTTTGGTTTAAAAAAAGTTAAGGTACGATGTTACGATCTGCCAGCGTTTACATTTGGTCAGTGTATAAAATACGTTCATTTATTCAACTTGCTCCATTGTGTCAACTTTGTGTTCCCCGTGATATCAGGATCGTAAAATGATTTGTCGACATAATATGTTGTACATTCATAATGTGTATTTTATACGTAAATAGTTAAATATAATAATGAATCATACATACTTTCACTGTGCCAATACACCGAGTCGTCAAGAATTTGTTTTTAATGAAACAGATTCATCGTCCATCGTTAAGATGTAGTCGATGAGAGAGAGTATGGAGAGTGTAGGAGAATTCTCTGATCACTGTGCATCACTTGATGCATCATACAGCTAATGCATAATATACATAATTTATAATGTTACAAACCGGAATGCCCTGTTACGGATCGACCCTGCATAATAAACATGGGAAACAACGGGTATTAACCCTTAGATTTCCTCCATGGCGGATTATGGATTGTTAGTGGTGAATCATGTTGGCTTTATATATTTAAATGTTTCCTTCGTTCGACGGGGGTGTTTGTGTACTTTCCATGATGTGACGAACGGTGGGTGATTGGGTCCCGCGGGTGATGACTAGAAGGGATTATATTAGATTTTTAGGCATAGTGTTTTTATGGGGTTTGAACATCATGATTCTCGATCCCGATGCCTGACCCACCGTAGTCACCGAATGTGTTGGCACCAAGCAGCTCCTTTATTCACAGGGATCCTCTATTGTGCACGCGGGAGTTGGTTGAGCTGTATCCAACCACGTATCTTGTACATGTAAATAACGTGGAGAACTATTTTTGTATTTGATTAGATGTCAACTGTTCTAACCCGCTCTGTCACACGCATGATGCGACAAGCCTTTGTAGCAGCACAGGGGTGCACTTTCCATTTCAGCCTTAAGTCAAGAATACTAACTCATGTCTTGCCGTTAATAATAGTTCATCATACACCCTGTACCGGGTTTGACATGCAGTGCTATGTTGTATTTATTTCTCTCCTGGTTGAATTTTAATTTGAATGTCTATGTAAGTAATATTTTTGTGATATGAATTAAATCCTATATGATGTTCCATTCACAGGCTTGTTTAGATTTAAAAAGAATATACAAAAATTTGAGATGACCCCGAACTCGAAATGCTTCACAGTACAATACATCATGATTTTTTGTACTGTAAAGCATTTTGAGTCGGGGGTCATCTCAAAAACAATATTTTTTAAATCTTTAATCCTCACAAAGACGCGAGGGCCTGTGGTTTCATCATGGACCTTGTAATTATGAATTATCAGCCTTTGTGGGACGGACGAAATGTTTGGTTCACTTGTTTGTGACATCGGCGTATTCCTACCAAGATCTGTGTGAACAACTAATAACGATGAGTACGTTACTGTATTGACGTTTACGAAATCTGTGTCCTACATCTGCACACTTTACGATGACGAATTTCACCGCTTGATGCATGATATATTATGTCATGCTTTTGTTTTGCAATTACAAATATTAATATTAAAAGATCATTGCAACTTACGTCTTGTGTTTTACCTCAACCGGACTGAAGGAAAAATGCTTGTTGTCCTTCTGTGTGATGGCTCTGACATGTTCTCCTTTTGAACCTTTTGAAAGGATGCGTCATAATTGTCTAGCACCATAGCAACACTGGTGGCTAGAAACTTATTTCTTTTAATTCAGTTGTCCTGTTCTGTGAAATAACTTTTGGGAATATGATCAGGAAGCAGCATCATCAGACCTAGTTTTGTTCATCTTTTAAGAAAAAAAAGAAACTTTTAATCAGTACGATATGTAGAACTGTAATGTGATTGATTGATTGATTTAGTTTAGTTTTACGCCGCACTCAGCAATGTCGCAGTTATATGGTGGCGGTATGTAAATAATCGAGTCTGGACCAGACAATCTAATGATCAACAGCATGAGCATCGGTTAATGTCATCACACGATGACAAAATTCAAACTTTGATAAGACGTAGAATATTTATGCGCGGGGGGATAATTTCATGAATAATTAATGACTTTATGAATGCATTTCTTTCTTTCGGAGAATGTAAATACGTATGCAGTAAAAACCTGTGCTTTTATATCGAGTTGCAATGCCCAATGCCCGAGGTACCAAATGTT